ACCATGGGCTATAGCCTTGGGTATTTTTCAAAATTTTGGCATTCTCTTAAAATGGCCGTAACTTTAAAAATTAAAATCAAAATCGGCTCAAACTTTCTACACAGCATAAGTACATCAATATGTATCAGAAAATGTAATAAAAAGTTGGGGTGATTTTGGAGCCATTTTTAGAAAGAACCATGGGCTATAGCCTTGGGTATTCTTCAAAATTTTGGCATTCTCTTAAAATGGCTGTAACTTTAAAAATTGAAGCTGGAATCGGCTCAAACTTTCTACACAGCATAAGGACATCAATATGTATCAAAACAAAGCAATACTATAGTTTGATTAAGTGAGGAGCATGTACTGATACATACCATTGTGTTGTTAGTTTAGTTGGAAGTTCAAGAAATCCTTTATCAATCATCCAATCATCATTAACAAAACGTGACCTAAAGAGAGAAATAACAATTAAATATCGTTTGTCTCCCTCGCTCTCACTCTATCTCTTACATATAGTTTCTAATGGAGTCAGGAAGTATAACAACACAACGCTGGCCCTTTCCAAAATTAAAGTCTTTGATAGCTTTTATAGCACCAGCCAATGCACTACCACTGGAGCCACCTAATAATAAAAGACATCAGAACATTCTCTTATTAAGGTACCCTTCATTCTTGCTTACCACAGAGCAATCCTTCATCGTTTATGAGTTTCCTGGCATAAAGGAAACCATCTTTATCGTGCATCTTGTACCACTTGTCAGTAATTGTCCTGTCCATACCAGCTGGGAAGAACTTCTTCCCAATACCTTCAACCTTGAGGAATAGACAAAAAACAATGGATATCATAACTATAGTGGCTATATACTATCATACCATCATGCTATCAAAACAATAAATTGAATGTGGTGATTACTATCAAAATTTTGGGCAAATTTTCAGAAAGGTCACAAATGCAACAGCTACTGTATTAGGCCTGGTTCACAATATGACGCTAGGCCAACGTACCGTCAATTTTTAATCAAAAGTGTGGGCGATTTGACCTTTTGACGCATGCTTTCCGCTGGAATCGATCCAGATTCGATTCCAGCGTCAACGTAACGTCAGGACCAGCGTAATATTGTGAACCAGGCTTTAAGGTGTGAGATAATTTAGGCTACTACTTTACAACTTGACCTCTCACAGTTTGATGCTAAGATTGTTCATTGTTACTTACCAGGTAACTCTTGATTGGTCCATCATTTAATTCAGGCGGGCTGGCTAGTGTTGAACCATATGGATCAACAGCCACTACCTAATAGAGAGAGAGAGAGAGTTCAACATTAATGACCAGTGAGTGTATTATAAATTCCCTACTTTGCAATTGCGGTTGTCTTTCCTTTAT